TCATAATAATATTTAATAGAGCTCAGGTGAACATGATATTATCACCATTGAATTATATAGAGGTCCCTTTTGCCCACCTGCTATGTAGGCATCATATTCTCTGGGGTTCATTTTTCCCCACTTATAATGTAGTTTCATACCTGAGAATCCTTTTATCTCATATATACTTGTAAGTTATATATCATATGTAGTCAAACTTTACTTTAAATTAATATTCAATACACTTTTTATAATCATAAGTCATACTTATTTTGTTGCATACTTTCATAATCATTCATATTATAATCTGTATGCCATGAATATGCATATAATAAGTAAAATAACTTCTTTCATAAACATTATCAATAAGAAAAACATTTAAATGAAAAATAATAAATATTGATTTAAACTCACATAATAAATTTATATAAGTGGTTATTCATATTTATGTGAGTCTAAATCAATATTTATTTTGTTCATTTAAATGTTTTCCTTATTAATAATGTTTTGAAAAGAGCTCATTTTCTTACTTATTATATGCATATTCATGGTATAAGATTATAATATGAATACTTATGAAAACATACAACAAAACAAGTATGACCTATAATTATGAAAAGTGTATTGAATATCAAATTAAAATTAAGTTTGGGTACAAATGATGTATAATTTATAAGTATAGGTGGAACAAAATGATATCCATGTATGAAATTATATTTTAAGTGAGACAAAAGGGACCCTGGAGAACATGATACATGCATAACAAGTAGGGCAAAATGACCTTTATATAATTCAATAGCGATAATGCCAGATTCACCTTGGCTCTATTGAATATTGTTATGAAAGTATAGTCAAATATTTTACAGACTAAAATTGGTATTCAGTGCAAAATTTAAAAGAAGTAAAAACTAATATTAATGATGATTTTATTATATTTTACAAATTACAAGTAAGAGTAAAGTTAATCAATGATAATTTCAATATGTTGATTTATTACAATTATTATATTTTAATTGTTAATTAACCTGTAAAGTTTATTGAGCGTCATAGCTCATTAGTATTTTTCTTACTAGCTGTTGTTACAGGAAATAGAAATGAAAAGATTGTTGCAGATTAAATTACAAGTTATTTTTTATTTTATGCTAGTATTTATTTTATTTGTAAACTCTATATTTGAGATTAGTAAACAATTTAATATTGTATTACTCTGGATTTATTTAGTTTTCCTTAGTGCCTCTGTAAATATGTATTTGTTGAAATTTTAAACTATTAGATGCTTCCGTTTGATGAGATGAATGATAACTATTTGATGTTTTATAAAGATTTTCAAATGTTCAAAAGTATAATATGATCAAATGATGAAATTGTTATTTTTATATTAGTAATACTCCTAATACTATTAAGGAGTACTGTGGGGTGCTGCAATTGTAACATTCTTGTAAGATATATTAGCCATTTAAGTGTACAAAATCATGCTTGTGATAAATTTAGTCCCACTACATAGGCTTATCTATTGATAAACATCAAAGTAGGTTGCCTGGTGTGCAATTCACAACTTTAAACTACATTACATGGTTTTTTGAACTGTTCATATAGACGATATGCGATTGTACTATATGATCTATGTACATTCCAATTGAAATTTTTAGTTTTATGGATGAGTTTTCTTATCTTTCATATATAAGTGCCTAAAAACTAACACAATATCTTGCTTCAAATTTCTCTTAAGAGCGTCTTTGGGAGAGTATTTTAGGAGTAAACAGAGAGAGAGATCTAGTAAGAGTAATTTGTGAGGTGATTCAGAAGGTTGTCCAAAGGTAATGATCTCTTATTTATTCTTCAACATTCTTTCCTACTTCCTTGAAAGCTCTTGAGAGAAGATTTTCAAAGAAGATCACAGTATTCTACCATCACCAGGAGGGTGAGAAAGGATGTTGATACTCTGCCATCACCATGAGGATGAGAAAGGACTTTGGTACTCTATCATCACTAGGAGGGTGAGAAAGGATATTGGTAGTCTGCCATCACCAGGAGGGTGAGAAAGGGCATCAGTATTCTGTCGCATCAGGTTAGTGGAAGAGAAGTTTTGTAATGACTTATCCACCTTGCTGTGGGACCAAAAGGAGAGTCACTTTTGATTTAATGCAATACTGAAGAAAAAGTCTTCAGGGAGTGGACGTAGGTCTAATTGGACTGAACCACTATAAAATTTAGTGTTATTCTATTATTTTACATTTTATTGCATTTTTATTTTTTGCACTTTAAATTATTATGATTTTATAAAATATAAGATAAATTTTAAATTACCAATTCACCCATTTTCTTGGTTAGCATTGGAACAATTTTATTAGGTCTAATAACCTATTCAAACTTTTATTTCATAATTATATAGTTCACGGTTGAACCATCTTATCATGTGCTTGAATCAATTTAGCTTTGTATAACTCAAGGTTTTGTTGAGCCTACATTTGTTTCTCTTCAATACCTTCAAACTTTTTTTAATTTAAATTTAGCATTTTATTCCATTATAATTTTATTATTTACTGGAATACATAATCAAAGCAATGGTACCTCCAAAGGGAGAACATCCTCTACTTCAAAGTCTAAAGCAAATGGCATAATTTAAGTGCGAGTTCTATATGCCCACAAAGGTTCTCTTAGCTGTTCATGCCATTGATGCTTATTATTATCCATGATTTCCTTTTTGAGTTGTAACAAAGTTTATTTAATGCATCAGCTTATCCATTTTCTCGAGGGTAATAGACTGTTGAGTATCTCCAATCTATTTTATGATGACTAAAAAAACTATTTATTTTTGTTCTTCTATAGGATTGACCATTATCATATATGATTCTGCAAGGAATATCAAATAAAGATATAATATGATCTTTGAAGAAGTTAGCTCTTCTTTTTCCTTCTATGAACTTTACTGGTCTCTTTCTTTTTTGGCTAAGGATTTTATGATTGTCCCTTAAAACATGCATGACAATGATGGCCCTAAGCTTATTTACTGGTCTAAATAGCCTGATAAAATTTTTAAACTTAATAGTGATGGTTCGGTTAAAAACATTTCTTCTGGTTGTGGTGTCATTATTAAAGATTTACATGGCAATTTTATTATAGTTTATGCTGGTCCTCTTAAAAATGTTTTGTTATTTTTGCTGAAATTTTAGCTATACTTTATGGTTTAAAATTATTTCTTTCTCTTGGCATAATTAACATTTGGATTGAAGTTGATTCTTTGCGTTGTATCTACTATTTAAAAGAAAATGAAGATAAAATTTGCAGCTTGAGCTTTTTTATCTCCTAAGGGATATTAAATAATTAATGACCCTTTGTAATGTTAATATTTCCCATGTGTTTCGTGAAGGGAATGCTTGTGCTAATTGGTTAGCAAATGTTGGTTGTAATCTTCAATTCCTTACTGATAATGGATGAAGAGTAAAATCAACATTTAATATGAGAATATAAAATATATAAGAGATAAGATGTTCAAGAGAGGTTTTAGTCATAATTGAAAAAAATGTACTCAATTTATTTTTGGGAAATATATTCCAAATTTCATTTTGAATCAAAATATCCCATAGTTGGATTCAGAATATTTATATAAAGTCTATGTCAAATGATATAGGCTCAACCAAGGTTCAAATTATAATCAAGCAGTATTTGATTTATATTCAAATCATATTTTTACCTTGTTCAAACAAGGTTTTATCTTTATGAATCCTATTTAAATAAGGTTTGAACTCATTTTAGGGTTTAGGGTTTAGAATTTATAATTATATATATATATATATATATATATATATATATATAAAGAAACCGGTTAACATACATTCGGTTTCTTTGGAAATTTTTTTTTGAAACCAGAATTTTGTTATGGGTTTCCTAAAAAACTGAATTTTTAGAATCCATTTAATTTTTTTTTTTTCAAATACCATTCATCTGCTTTTGTCCATCAGTCTGTGGATAGGTTGCATAGTCAATAAGTGAGATGTTAAATCTCCTCATGTCCTCTAATGAGCTCCATCATCCATGGTTTTAGAATTTTTTACCCTTTTATGATTTTATGCTTTCTTAGTTTAATGCGATCTGACTACATCCTCAAAGGATCTGTTTGCCATTGTCATTATATCAAATGACTTTTTTCTGTATGGATTGAAATTATCCATTTTTTTGAATAGATTGATCATGAGGAAGATTGAATGCATCCATTTTCGTGTCCTGACATGTTAGGAAAAAAATGGGTTGCTTTTCTCTTGTAGTATTCGGGTAGTAATTGTGTGTATGAAATTGTCTTCTGTATGTGAACCTTCACCACTTGACCCATGTATGCTATTTCTCAACATATCTTGTAATTTCTTTCTTTATTTTGGTCGATAATCTTTCTTATGACTGCTTTAATGTATGGTGTCTCAACATTATGAAGTTTTCAAATAAATTTTGCTTTAAAAAAACCTTTAGAAATACACATGAAAACATCTAAACATCCGGCTCATGAAAATCTCTTTGCTTTCCGCGGAAACATTTAGCCCAATCTTTACTAACATGCTTATTTTTGAAGCATTTGCCACTTTGTTCTATTAAATTTCTTAATGCTTCAAAAAATAAAAACAACAATAACAAAGAGAGAACGCAACAAAAATCAACGAGAAAGATTTTTATATCGGCACAACAAACCAAGTTACAAGTTGATATACTATTCGAGAGGTAGATCGACTCTCCACAAACCCTAGGCTCTGCTAGGAATAACTCTAAAGAAAATCACAACAAAATACAATTCACACATAATGAAAAAAAACAACCCAGTTAACACTAATATAAACCTTTCTATTTTCCTCCAAAATATGAATTCAAATCAGTCCTCCTTTACTAAATAAACTTTTTTTAATTCCCTCCCACATTTGAATTCAAATTAGCCATCTTTTCCTAAATAAGCTTTTCATAATTCCTTTTTAAATCTAAATTCAAATCATCCATCTTTCCTTAAATAAACTTTCCTAATTCCCTCTTAATTTTAGTTTTTTATGCAAGTAATTAAAGGTGGAATTAATCCCCTTTGCTCTTCTTGCCCAACACCCGCCTGGGGTGAGGGAGCCACCACCGCATCAATATTCTCCTCCCAAAAAATCATTTTGTCCACAAGGTGGAAGGAGAGAAACTCCTAGATGTGATTGTAGGGCTCTCATGTCGCCTCATAGTACACTGGTAAATCCTTCCACTTGATCAACACCTCACTGATCCCCTTGGCGCCACCTTCAGTGGTTCTAATATCACCTCCATATACTTTGACAGTTTGATCGGTAGTGCGGGCGAGGGTGTGTGATTTTCAATGGCTTGTCTCAGTTGCGATACATAAAATACAAATCGATGGCTGAGGTCGGTGGCAACCATAGGGCGACATACTACTGCACCAATGTGGTCCACAACCTCGCAGGGCCCAAAGTAGCGGGAGGAGAGCTTCTCATTCCTTCGTCGAGCCACAATCCGCTGCCTGTAAGGTCAGATCTTCATATAAACCCTATTCCTAACCTCAAACTGCATGTCTATCATGTGTCCATCCTCTTACTTCTTTATGATTTGCTGTGCTCTTTGTAGATGTTCCTTTAATTATACCAAAATCTATTCTCTTTCTCCCAAGTGCTGCTCCACTGATGACGTGTTGCCATGCCCATAATATATCAGATGAGGTGGATCCCTGCCATATAGGATTTTAAATGGCATTGTTTGGTCTGCTGTATGATATGAAGTGTTATACTAATTTTCTGCCTAGGCTAACCACTTGCCATTGTACTTCTACCTTAGACAATAAAGGTTCAGTTTTATTTCTGATTCTTGTCAAATATTCATTTTTGGAAGGCTGAGGATAGCTGATGAATTTTTGGAGTTCCCAAATATTGTTTCTCCTTGTATTGAGGATTAAGCATTTGAAGATTTAGCATGGCCACTTCAAGGCTCTTCAACTTAGCATGGATGAATTTTTTTTATTTATTATTTTCAAGGTTTCATCTCCCAATAATGTCCTTGATTCTGATAACACAAACACTGTGGAAAGAAATAGAAAAATTAGACTTTGAGATGGGCTTTTAAATTCTCCGTACTACAAAATTTAGCCACAACATTGGGGAAAATTTAGAGTTTAGTTTCATTTACTAAAATTTTTTGTGTTATTACATGATTTCTTCCCTTTTTATGTTCATATGTCTTGATTTGGCCTAAATAAACTATACTTTGATTAAAAAGACCCAATTTGTTCAAATTTATCCCAACATCTAGAATATTTCTCTATCAAGCCCCTAAAGATGGGATTTTGAAGTTTTCTTACTCCAAAATGTTAGTGGCATCCTTGGACAAAATCTAGAGTTTAGTTTCATTTTGTACTATTTTTGTGTTATTACATGATTTTCTACAGTTCGTATACTCATTTTTGGCTTGACTTTGACCTAAATAAACTAAAATTTGACCTAAACAAACCCAAATCGACCAATTTTATCCAAACACCTAAAACACTTCAATCAAGCTCCTAAAGTCTAACCAAATGACATGACAGACTGCGAATAGCCTGAAATATAAGTTTAATGACAAAAATAAATAAATTGTGAAACAATTGTGAAAACTCTTCCAAGTTTAACAGATTAATTATTTCCACACTTATCTTGTAATTCATGCTTTCTTTTCATATATTGCTTCTGCAAATGTATGGGCATCTTTGATTACTAAAGCCTTTGGTTTGCATGATCTGTCATTGACCATGTAACTCTTTCAGAATTAAGTTCTTAAAACGTAACTGCAATATCTGGTTTCTATGTAATTGATGATATGTGTATTTTATTGCAGGTTCAGCACTACTGGCCTTCCCAGTGATGTTACCGTTGAAGTTGGAGAGATGTCCTTCCATCTTCACAAGGTGATTGTAAAACCATGTAATCTGTATAATTTATTTGATAAAAAACTCATGCTTTATCCATTTCTTTTCGGGAATGAATTATTTATGTGTAACTACGGATTTTCTGTCGCTATTAATATCTGTAGTGTTAATCATATCATTGGTTTGGCATAGCTGCTGAAGATGTCACAGAGAAGTCATTTTGACTTCTGGTTCTGGAGATATATTAAAAAAAATACGTTCTTCATTCTCTGAGATAACTTTTTAACTAAAAATATGCTTTGTCCTTTATTTTTCCTCTAATAAATCTTGCTATCTGCTGATTTAACCATTGCATCTATTTCATTTTACATATCTTCTGAAATTTATTTTGCTATGGCAGAGGTTTCCCTACGTTTAATTAATTGACCTCTTCCAATTTCAAATCTAAATGTTCTTACGGATGACTTGCAGTTTCCTTTATTATCCAAGAGTCGTCTTCTGGAAAAACTGATTTCTGATAAGTCTGGCGAAGAAGAGAGCTGTATCATAAAGCTTTCAGATATTCCTGGTGGTTCAAAGGCGTTTGAACTAGTTGCCAAGTTTTGCTATGGCATGAAGATAGAACTTACTGCTTCGAATGTTGTATATGCCCGGTGTGCTTCTGAGTATCTGCAAATGACTGAAGAGGTTGCTGAGAGGAATTTAATCTCAGAGTCTGAGCTATTTCTCAATCAAGTTGTTCTCCGTAGCTGGAAAGATTCAGTGAGAGCTCTCCAAACCTGCGATGATCTTCTCCCTTGTGCTGAAGATCTTAACATTGTTACAAGATGCATTGACTCGTTGGCTGTGAAGGCTTGCATGGACCCTGATCTATTTGGCTGGCCTATGATGGAGCATGGCTCCATGCAAAGCCCTGGTGGAAGCGTTCTATGGAATGGGATAAGTACTGGAGCAAGACCCACAAGTCGTAGCACAGATTGGTGGTACGAGGATGTCTCATCTCTCAGTCTTCCCTTGTATAAGAGGCTTATATCAGTAATGGAGTCACGAGGTATCAGAGAAGAGATAATTGCTGGTTCCTTAGCCTCCTATGCAAAAAGGTATCTTCCCGGATTAAACAAAAGGCACAATGCAGCACTTATGACACACATATCTGTACTGTCTGAGGATGAGCAAAGGGGCCTTCTTGAAGAAATTGAGAGTTTTTTGCCCATCCAAAAGGGTGTGACTTCTACAAAGTTTCTGTTTGGTCTTCTCCGCACTGCAATGATTTTGAAAGCCAGTCCTGAACACTTGGCTAACTTGGAGAGAAGAATCGGTATGCAGTTGGATGAAGCCAGTTTAGAGGATTTGCTATTGCCTACCTTTTCTTACTCTATGGAAACACTCTATGATGTTGATTGCATCCATAGAATTCTCAAGCACTTCCTAGCCATGGACCTGGCTACTGGTGGAGCTTCTCCTGGTCTGATAGATGATGAGCAGTTGATGGGTTCTCCATCGCTTACACCAATAACCACTGTGGCTAAGCTTATAGATGGGTACTTGGCAGAGGTGGCCCCTGACGTCAACTTAAAGCTGCCAAAGTTTCAGTCTCTTGCAGAAGCCATTCCAGAGTATGCCCGTCCTCTGGATGATGGGCTATACCGTGCCATTGATATATATTTCAAGGTAAATAATGTAATTTAGAGGTGTCAATTTTTGACACTGCTCGAAATCCGACCCGGACCCGACCCAGAAAAATTTGGGTTCGGGTTGACCCAGTTAGCAAACGGGTCGGTTTCAAATTCAAAATTTCGATTCGTTTCAAAAACGGGTCGGCTTCAGGTTAACTCGTCCCGCGGACTCTGCTCGCTGCCGCGCGCTTGCGACTCGGACTTCGCCTGCACTCGCGATCCCGCACTCGCGAACCCGCTAACTCCTTCCGCTCGCGACTCGGACTTCGCTATCCGCACTCGCGGACTGGCTCAGGCGCTTAGCTGCGCTTCTTCAGCCAAATCTACTAAATCTAGGTCGGGTCGGGTCAAACCCGGCAACCCGCGTGGGTCGGATCCAGGTTGAAATGTCCTACCCGTTTGCAGAAATGGGTTGGGTTCGGGTTGATATGTTTAGATCTGGGTCAACTCGGGTTTGACCCGAACCCAACCCGTCGACCCTAATTGACACCTCTAATGTAATCACCCTGACATATCTTCTTAATGTGTTTCTGAAATAAAATTCCAATACAGGCACACCCATGGCTATCAGAATCTGAGAGAGAACAGCTATGCCGGCTGATGGACTGCCAAAAGCTCTCCCTTGAAGCCTGCACCCATGCTGCACAGAATGAGAGGCTTCCTCTTCGAGTTGTTGTCCAAGTACTCTTCTTTGAGCAGCTTCAACTTAGAACTTCAATCGCCGGATGTTTCCTTGTTTCTGACAACCTCGATGGTTCAAGACCGTTAAGGAGCGGTCTTGTGGCCCCAAGTGAGGGCGGCGGCGGGGGCTGGGCCACTGCTGTCAGGGAAAACCAGGTTCTGAAAGTTGGTATGGATCACATGAGGATGAGAGTCTCTGAACTTGAGAGAGAGTGTTCAACCATGAGGGAGGAGATTGAGAGGCTGAGCAGGTTGAGAAATGGGTGGAGCGGTTTCTCAAAGAAATTGGGCTTCAGGGTGAAGCCACAGATATGCAGCACACAGGAAGATTCAGTTAGCGAGCATCAGAGCAGGAGTGGGAAGATTGAAGCTATAAGCAAAGCTCACAAATCATAGAAGAAACTTATCAAAAGGTGAATGATGGACTATATGCTACTTCTCTTGTATTTCACAGTTTATTCTTTCTTGTAATCTTGCCATAGTTTTTATGTTTTGAATTTAAATGGCTAGTTGTTTTTTATGAATTCCAATGTTGCTGGCAATGTAACAGCACAAACTTTTATCAACATATTGTCCGCTTTGATTTAAAGGCCTCATGATTTTATCACATTAGTGTAAATTTTTAGAAGGTCAACCATTCTAGGATTTTTTTCGGGATAAGCACGTCTAAATGTATAGTTTCTTAAATGAAATTATAACAATTATATCAAAAGATGTCTAGATATTAAGAGTTTAGCTTCCTTTTATTTAAAGGGTTTTACAATCTTTTTCATTTAAGTAATTGATGTAATCATCATTATCTTTTTGATGCTTAAGAATTTATTTTTATTTTTTTACTTAAAGGATTTCACCGCTAACCTTGACGTATTGGATTGAAGATTAGTAGTCCTTACAATATTATGATCAAAATATCAAGCTAAGAGAATTTTATGTCATGTTTCAAATGTATCGATCAACCTTTTCTGCTGATATGAAAACTATAAGAGAAAGTTATACTAACGGCAAGTCTCATGTGAAAATTACCTTTTTTTTATTAGTTTGTTCGCTATTCAACGAAAATGAATGTAGAGAAAGGATTCATAAATTGCTATGATGAGATTGATGATTGTTCTAAGCCCAAGTTATTGATGAGCATTAGGATTGTTTAAAGTGTTATATTTATGTTAAAATAAAAATTAATTTAAAAGTTCAACTAAAATTGACTTTTCATATTGAAATTAAAGCTTCATTTGGGTTATCATTTATACTGTTTCTTAAAATAAATGTTTAGTAGAAAAATCATAATTTTTACATAAGAAAGTTGCTATAAGAAATACTAAAAAACTGTCTCAAATGAAGCCTATGCTTAGAGCACTGACCTGAGAATTTATTTTGAATTAATTTCAACTTAACAGTAACATTAATCAAATTTTGATTAAAACTTTCTCAAAACTTATTATATATAATGCATATGTAACTAAATGATTAATTAATCTATCAGAAAAAATAATTATTTTTACAAAACATAATTAGTTCAAACTTAATTTTTAATATTATTCTTAGTTTATCTTCAAATCGATTAACTGTTGATCATAAATGGGTTAATCAGCCAGCCCAAGCTGATTAGAGCAATCATACCATGATGATGCTTTTGTAGTTGTATAATATGTAGAATGATAACATAAAGATTTACACTATTTGAACTCCATCCCTTTTTTTTACTTTCATTTAGTGCTAGTTTTTCTTTCATCTTGATATAGTTTATAATTATAGTTGGCTTTTTCAATAATATAGTTGAAAAAATATCCATTTTCTTAAAAATCTCTTTAAGCCTTCTATAATTAGAAAGATTTTTCTCTTTCCAAAAGACAATCATTTCAATATTAACTTATCATATCATTTTATCGAGAAAGTATCTTTAATTGAATTTTAATATGACAGTAATACCCCTAAAAATCTATGAGACATTTAAGTTATCAACCATCATTGAGTGCCATGTTAGTATTTAGTTTAGTTTAATTTGTGGACGCTCATCAATATCTCATTGCATCATCTACTAAGGCGAGTATTCACTATGCTTCACCTTTGTATTATTTGACATCGTGTTCTTGATAAAAACCTTCTACCCTGCTCTTTATTTATGAAATTTCATATGTTCCTCATTGCGGTTGACACTAGAGAAAGTATTATATTTTTGAATCACATATGTACTATTAACATGTTCCTATTAGAAATTTGCACTTGAATATTTACTTGTGGACATTACTTCCATATGTTAGTTCACAAATAATTTTTAATGCTCTCTTCTTCACCTATATTAGTTACATTATATAAGCTCATTGCTGATTTCTTTGGAATCTTTTGATAATTATCCTATGTATCACAAATAGTAAATTTTTTACTCTAATAATTACCTTTCTTCACATTACCATTTGAGCTTTATATTATCCATCCATATCTCCTTTTTGGTCTCACTTATACTTAAGCTTATTCTAGAAATACATGTCTTATCTCATAGTATCAACATCAATAGACATTTGTTTATTCATTCTATATTAATCACCTAAGCATGTGCCAATTCTTTAGAAAGGTGTGGATGATTTGTTTTCTTTATTTAAATTTTATTCAAGAAATTAGAGGCCTTCTCTATAATCACAATTATTTTGATCGAATATTTAATTTAAAACATTGTGTAACATAAAGATCATTAGCAAATAAGACAATTATTTGCATAAATTTAGTGATGTCAAAGTCTTTACAACTTGTGATTGTAAGTGCTATTGAAAAATAGTATCACTGTCTTATTCTTAAAAAAAAAAAAAATACTATTAGAAGTACTAAAAAATTCCATGTTGGATCTCACCATAATATTGGAGATACTCTTAAGCATAAAAATATCTATAATTCCAAATATTCTTATGATAGTGATAATAATAAAATCAATCTATGATTCCATTTGGACTAAATTATTGCTTTCAAAAGAAAATTTTTATTGCAAAATTTTCTTAAAATGAAAAATTTTGAATCAGAAAATTGCTTTAAAAACAATAAGAAAACTGTTCCAAACAAACCCTATACCTACCATCAAATCTTTTGAACCTTAGCATTATTGTATCAACACCTATATGTTATCCTCTACAAAATTAGTGCGTGAAACAATTCGATAGGTGTAATGCTACGTTGTTCTAAGATATTAGTGACACCTTACAAAGCAATAGCCCAACTCCAAATACCTAAATGTGCATCACATGTAGTAGTAGGCCTTACATAGTATGGTCCTAATTATCAATAACAAATGAGAAAAATATAAAAAATAGTCCCCTAACTATTACTAAGTGCCAAATTATGTTCCAACTTTATGATAGGATAATATTCAAAATATTTTACCATATTATAAATCATTTACTAAGTGTCAATATCAAACTTATTCATGATAAAATTTGTTTTTTTTATCATATCCTATCAAATTATTTGGAGGATTATCACTTTATAAGCATACATTTCAACAAAATTCATTTGATTCTTTTGCTAACATTGTAGTTTTCACTTGATTTTCTATTAGATTTTGTGTAGGTATTGTTTTTTTTTTCCTTTCAATTAAATGTTTGTACTATCCTTGTTAAATTTTTATTGAAGAGTATTAATGCAATAAGATGTTATCTATTTTTTATACTTATATATATATATATATGCTTACAATTATTTTTTTATGAATCCTTACCTCATAAAAACATCAACATTTACTTTCATGACATCAATCATCAACATGCAAAGGCCTTACATGACATAAACAATCACATCAACATTGCTTTCATGCTTTCAACTGTTTTATTTCTATATATATATAATCAATGGATGCTATTCACCACCACAAATAACATCATCCTGAACCAAAACATGAATCATTCACTCATGTAAATGTTTACCATCTTTTTTTTTAAAAATTTGCTAAAACCCTAAACCATCCTAAGAATGTGTAACAAACAAGCTATAAATATCTAGAAGTCACAAAATTGATTTGAAGCATTTTCTTTTTCAAGAAACTTGACTTCGTTTGGATAAAGCAATAAGAAAGTTATCCAAAAAGAAACCTTTATCTGACCTCAAATCAGTGTACTTTCACTCTTTTGATCTTCAAATACCATACTCTCTCAACTTGGGCTTCTCTAGAAAGCAACTCTTTCTTTTTCCTTTTGATTATACCAAACAAGATTTCGAATGACAAATGTTTGGTCCTCATAAGTTAGCTATATAAAAATAATAATTAGAAACAAATACAAATAAAGCTCATAGCCAAAAACATATCCCATGAATAGAAACCAGTAAAGAATACACAAACACCCTCACACTGCAATATTAGTCATGTAACCCAAATGATCAGCAAATTATCCTAAGAATGCACACTATGAACAATAATATAAAAAGGAAAAAAAAAAAAAAAAACATTAAACCAAAGCCTTAGTACTACACTGACCGCACCATAGAAGTCTCCACGATTTACAACATAAATACAGTGGATGATCAATGCAGTAAAAACATTGACAAATTCCTTCTGAGCTGTGTTAAATATTTTCTTGAAAACAGTTCTTTTGAGTAAGTTGAAGTTTCAGCTATCTATTTTCAGTAGGGAATTGAGGGAGGTACTATTGAATCTTTGAGCAAGTCCTCTAATAACAAGAACAATAATATCCCTCATGTGCCGCGTTTGCACCATTAGATCTACCTCATCTTCACTGTCAACAACAATCTTGAAGCGGTGTTGATCATTCCTGTAAAGTTCCACCTGTAAAACAAAGAAATTGTTAAGCTCATATAGAATCGGATATCACAAGCATTTTCTTCATGTTCATTTTTCTATAAGATCAAGTGTTGTAAGTTCAGCTCAAGTGTTTGCGCTTGATAAAGCTGATGAAGAGGAGGTTACATAAACAACAATGATTTTCAGGACTATACAACAACAACAAGCCTTTGTCCCACTATGTGGGGTCGGCTAGATGAATCCTTTTTCACCATTGTGTCATGTTGAAAGTCAAATTCTCATTTAAATTTAATAAAAAAAGATCATTTCTAATATTTTCTAACCAAGTCTTTTTAGGTATACTTCTACCTTTCTTAACATGAGTAAAATCTAATACCTCAAATTTCCTAACCGGGTCATCAACGAAAGGCCTCCGTTTAATGTGACCAAACAATCTAAGGCGACTCTAATATTATCTTCCAGTGGCTATATGCTCATTTCGTATCCTATCTCTAAGGGTAAAGCCACTCATCCACCTAAGCATCCTCATCTCTGCAACACTTAACTTAGTATTATGCTTCTCTTTTAATGGCCAATATTCGGCACAATAAAGCATTGCAGGTCTCACCATCATCTTATAGAATTTTCCTTTAAGTTTGAGGGGGACTTTTCTATCGCACAACAAGCCCGATGCATTCCTCCACTTCAATCATCCAGCTTGAATTCTACTGATAAGATGGTTGTAGGTTCTATAATGCATGTAAAACTTACATGAAAGGGTGGAGCATAGGTTCCCCGGATTTCTGTGGCAGGAAAAGAAGCCTTGGAACCAGGCTTTACAACCTTGATCCTCTTCCTGTTAACTTCTAATATTCTTCTCTCAAGGTTTCCGGCTCCTGGGACCTGTGGAAGAAGATGGTTTCAGTTTTCCAGGATAAATTGTTCAAGCAAAATATCGAGACAGGACCAAAGACAGTAATACCTTCTTGTCTTTGTTAATCAATGCCTGATTCCAAAAAGAAGAATAACAACATCAGAATTGGCAAGAGAACACCAATACATATAAACAATTATAGGAACAAAAGGTACGCAGGAACAACATCTAAAAGTTTTGTTATGGGTTGGAAAACATCACCTCAAATTTCACTGATCCGATTTCAACCTTCTGCTTCACCTCTCTATATACATCGGGCTCTGTGAAAATATCTGCTTGGTTAATATGGGGAAGAGTTGTGCAGTAGAGTGTGAAATCAGATATGCATGGATCATGAAGCTTTTCTGATGGGGCAGTTTAATCACTAAAAAAAAAAAAACCATATTTATGGCATCGAAGGTATGCCCCATACGCTAAGGTCAATTATAGATTTATAACCCCACACAAGGAGCAGATAAAAAGGCATACTGATAGGAAATACTTGAGTTCGCAAGTAACCCTAAGGTAAATACTTGAGTTCGCAAGCAAACCTATCACTAATCGGTGAAAACAGCGAGAATAATGCAAAATTTGGGCGCATCGGCCCCAAAACGTTGTATTACAACAAGGGAATCAAAGCCAAACAAACACGAGAACAAGACACAAGTGATCCTCAATTCGAGAGGAGAATCGTTCTCTCCCAATCTCTAGACAAAGAATCTAGAGCTAAGACGCTAAGAAAATCCAAGAGAAAACAAATCAAAGCATGCATAATCCTAACCCTAAACAAACCATACTATTAATACATTAATTCCTTAATTCAAACATCCTTAATTCAAAATTTCCCTCACCCTAGCCACCCAACCCTCTCTCATCAATTTACTCCTACTGGGGCCCACTAATGTGGGAAGCAATAAGGAAGGGAGGCGGCACTTGTCCGCCCCCTGTAAACCTAAGCCGGCCTTTGGCCCGACTGGGCCAGTTCAGGTTGAACCAACCTAACACATAGCATACAAACCGGACTAAAATTTGAGACCTCTACTATGAGAATTGGAGCATACTGACTAAACTAGAACTCAATATATGTAAAACTCAAAATCGATGATCTTAGGCGTCACACACATTTCGATGCGCTGCGACGAGATTTAAGTGAAAATTCAAAGTTAACGGATTTCGGCGGAAATAATTTTATAAAATTCTAAGAAAAATTATAAGAAATTTGGTATATAGAACTTAAAGATAATTTTGCTTAATTTTGAAGTTAAAATTAATAGAAATCTCATAATACCCAAATTACCACTAATCATTTCTAAATCTGAGATGATTTAAGTGAGGGCAAAGTGGTCATTTAGCAATCCCTATTTTCCCTAAATAAATAAGAGACTGAAACCCCCCTCCCTTCATGCGATTGTTTTATTTGGCCAAACCGAACCGAGAGAAGGAGAAGGCGGACAAGAGAGGCGGACGGGAGAGGGCTTCGGCGGCGGCTCCGACGACGATTTCTGGCGAGGAAATTTGGGGAAAACATAGAGGATAAGGGGAGACTAAGGTATGCATTAGAATCTACATTTCCCCTCTTATTCTCAAGATTTTTGGAAAGGAAGATTTTTAGGGTTTTTCAATAAATGTTTTTTATTCCAAAATTTCTTTACGAAATCAGTAGAGAAGGTTAAGGAAGATGTTTTAACGATAGAAACGAAGTTTCCCTAAATTTTATTGAGATTTGAAAATTAGTGTTTTTCCTAAAAATTGAAATTTCTTGAAGTGTTTTCACAAAAGTGATTTCTATGGGTCCTATGAATGTTTCTAAATCAAAATATTGAGTCTTCTTAAGAATTTGCATTTTATTTATTTATTTTTCTAGTTAAATAAATCCGAAATTAAATTAACCTAATTATTAATTAGGTTTAGAGAATGTTTGGCTTGATGATTTGATGAATTAAATGGATTTAGGGGTTCCAAAAATTAGGGATTTTAATAAATCTAAAAATTCAAATTAAACTATGTTAATTTTCTTAAGCGTAGTAAGAATCGAATAGTGAGATATGAATAGTTTAGACAATTTGAAAATAATTAAAACTTTGAGGAAAAATTATCGTTGACACTTCTTTATGTATGATTTTTAGGTTGTGATCAATAAGGGGAGGGACACATTTCAAAGCGACACTATACGAAATTTTTGTGCTTGTGTTAAGGTAGGTACTCATATCTCTTGTAAAAATTTCATATATATTGCTTTGTTCTTTTTATTCAATGCAAATCTTTAGAGCTTTCAAAGTTATATGATTTATGAATTTTATTTTGCAAATAACATATTAGTAGAATATATTTATTTCAATAGATAAGTAAACTTATATGTTATGGTTTAATTTGTGATTTTCATGTTTGAAACTAATGATTTCTGAATCATAATTATTTTTCATTAAGCATATGATTGCTGAAAAAAAAAGATTATAAATTTCTGATATAAAACTATGCATGTTGATGCAGAGTATCCAAATGGTAAAGGAGCTCTTCAGAGCCAAATAATAAAGGGGCTCTTCAGAGCCAAATGATAAATGAATGGCCAAATAAATGAAAATGTGTACCTGATCAATACAAACTCTATGAGTACCTCTGAGACGAGTGTTATAGTAAATATTATACATATTAAAGTTCATATATGTTTTCTATGCTCATTAAAGGTTTATGTTTATGGAAAGGTTATGAAAAAGGCTTTTATTCAGAATGGTTTTGAATTTATGTATTAATGGTTATTCTTTAAAGTTTTACACTTGATGGTTATTTATTTTTATGTAAAATGTTTTATTGTTGTTTTATGAAATTTTTATGGAAAATATGAATTATCTGTTGGGCAAGTAAGCTCATCCCTTATTGTGTGATTCTTTTTCAGAAGAACCATCTAGGAACTGATGGCAGAAAGACAGTTTACTTATCGTCGTAGGACTGGACGGAGGAGTGACAGGTTTTTTCTTTCAGTTTGTGTCTTGTGTGTGTAAGACATAAAATGCATGTTTTATGAACTTTGGAATTTGTTGTTTTGACTTTTAGTGTTTGATGTTATTGAAGAATTGTAGAAGAGAAACAATATTTATATGTGTGGTTTAGTGGCTCTTTTATGTCATGTTGGAATGAACATTATTACAAGTTTATAATGTTAGTTTACTGTTTATCGTACGACAATCTGTTCCTGCCTCGCCTTTGCAAGCTTACCAGGCCGGGTCGTGACAATGTATTTGCTCAAGATTACTATCCTTGACAGCTAGCAGCAGATTACACAGATTTGCAACTTGGAGCTTCCAAGTGATTAGCTTAGTTAAAGATGTATTCCTTAGCATCTCAAGGGAAAAAAACAGGTAGCAGATGCTAATTTGGAGAGATCTGAATCTGAACATCTGATCTAGCAATTTTTGAAACTGATGAATGTTGGTTGTTAACGATATCAACTACTTAAATTGTAGCCAGCAGACCAGGTCATACCGCATGAGAATTGTCTGTATAGAAGAATATCTAAACGCATTGAATTCCATACCAATTGCAATGGGCTCCGTTGAAGTATATACAGGCTCTCCCTCTACCCCATCTTCTCGGACTGGAGTATAAACAGCAACAAGCCTGTATCCCACATCATCAACATTAGCTTCATACATTCGCCCAACCTCACCTGTTACAAGAGAAGAAAAACGGTCATATTAATATTACCATACATGCATAAACAAACAACTTAGGCATCTAACATAAGATGTAGGCAATGCAACAAATTATTTTTAATCTCCGAAAAGAGATCAAAATACAAAGCTAGAAAACAAAAAGAAAAAGTAAAGATATAAAAGATCATAAAACTTAGCTTCATGCAGACGCCCTGCCTTATCTGATGAATGTTTTATTTTAATTTTTTTAATATAAATGAGTTTAACAAGGAAAACACCTAACATCTGATTTTAGGAAACCCACAAATGAAATTTGACATGGAAAACACCTAGAAAGGATTGAATTCAAGGTCCTTTATTTCTTTTTAATGCTAAAGAGAATTTAGCATGGATAAGCACGTAAAGAAGGTAGGGGAAAAAACAATGTTAATCACATAAAAATCTTTATATCTAACTATATTTCTGGCGATGTCCAATGTCTCAGCAGGACTAGAAAATAAGACTGGAAATAACATATCTATAAGTTCAAAGCTTATCCTTTGCAAACAATCCTTGAATGCTAATTCCACGGTTGCTTATTCCAAATTGACATGCAATCAAACTGATTAATTGACATTCAAAGACTTTAACAGAGACATCATTTAGTTGAACAAACTCCCAGCTCTTCAAGTGTTCAAGTTAACATAAGGAGTTTTACTGCATTAGAAGTGAGGAAAGACGGCACGGAACCGATATTCTAAGAGGGAGATGTATTAAAGCTACGAAGCACAAAAATTTAGTGCGACCATGTTCTGTGGTTTCTAAGATCCAACTGTGGATTTTTGTTGCCAGGATTATCGGCTCCAGCAGCCTCTAGTGAGGCGGGCCAAATCTTTCAGACTGACTGAAGCTTATCAAGTGCGACTTTTTTATTGATTTTCTAAATGCCATCTGTCATGGATCGAGGGACTACGGGTTTTCGGGTCAACTCAAACCTGACTTGATTTTAAAAGCAGGTTAGTATCTTGAACTCGAGCCCGACCCGTTTGGCAAATGGGTTGACCCGAATCCGGATTTTTTCAGGTCTAGTATGGGTCGGGTTTCGGGTTGGGTGAAATATTGACACCACTATGCTACAATAAACATTCTAATATTTCTTATGGACAATTTTGAATTCAACATCCATTCGAGTGCGGTGAGCATCGACAAGTATTAAGGATTAGTAGCCAAGCACTACGATTAGGAAACTCAACAAATGCGTAATAAAGCCAACTTCTAGAGAATTTACGACTAGCCTAAATTTATTTGTCTCAGCTATCCATACAAACAAACCTACATGATACGGTGAGCATTTATCCTCTCAAAATACTATTTTACCACAAATGCAGACACATTAAAATATAGATAAAACCACAAAAAAAAGCTATAAAAAGAGTTGCGATCTAAAAAATAACATAGATTAACGCTAAAACTCATTTAGAAATTAACACTCGGTCGATCAAGTAAAAATTAGACCAGTGTTTGAGATCACAGTGATCTCGACATAAGGCCAAATAAGAAAGCAATGAGACTAGCTCCAATGTGAACGACCTCCAAGAGAACCAAGACCCCTGGGTAGACAGACAATCTATACTCGATGAAGCCACCTTTCACACTTGATTTTGAATAAGTTTCATCAAGGAAAAGAGATATCTAGCAACCGTAAGAATAAAAACCTACATAACATAAAGGTTTACGTAATCTTTTGATTTAATTTTTGAATATTTGACAATGGATTTGTATTAATTTTCTACAAATTCACCAGGTACATGGTAAACTTAAACACTTCCCTTTATGAATTTGACCTCAGAAGTATATCTTGGGAGCATACAACTCAGCATCCACTATAAATATGATTTTCTATGATATTTATTTTAACAGTATCTACCTCGTTATAATTCAATGATAATATTTGCCATCATAAAATTCAACTTGGCAGTATGATTTTTTATTCAAACCGTCTTCTTTCTAACAAAAGGGGCTTGGAATCAAATCATTTTGTAAATTTCTTGTTACTTATTTCTAGCAACTTGCATAACTCCAAAAGAGAGAATATAAAAAGCCAAGCGTTATAGAATGCGGCTCCCCCTTTTGCAATAAGATCTACACTTAAGCAGCACGCGAGTTCACTCTAAAAAGATTAGATATGCAATCGGTAGCCTAATGATTTCTTTGTTTGCACTTGATTGAATGTGCTCCAATTTTGTTCACATGCAGATGTTAGTTAAACATGTTAGACTTAGGCTTTGATTACAAATACTTATAATTTAGTGTTTCATCTCTAAAGTGCATCCACCAACAGTCTAAATCACGAATTAAAAAATAAATAAATTAGAATAATGTTAATTATATATTGAACAAACTTAATCATAAGTTAAATATTTTAGTGAAGCTGACAAACAATTCACTAGGTGTGTGTGTTTCGCCTGCTAGTTGGTCAGATCTCATGCTATTCCTTTTTTTGGCAAAGAATTCATTTAGTTGTCTATCAGCCTTCTAAAAAATGAGACAATGTGTTGTATAAGTAGTCCAATCTAGATGTTTTCTTTTCTAATTAACATCCTCCCTGTCGCCTCATACACTTGCATTATCTATTACTACTAGAACAACAAAATTTTCTCCAACTTTCTCAGCACTATGTTCGAATTGTGAATAACAATGATGCATCTTTAATGAACTTAGATATCTTAACACTTTAAAAAACATCATTTCATTAGGATTGTAAACAAGGAATTTGATCAAGCTTGACATCTTATGTCTTGCCAACTATCCGATAATATTGAAACTCCTTTTTATGCTCATATATTTATTATTCTTGAACTATCTTATCAGTAATTTACACTTCTTCCATTAATATCCATTTTCGATGGTCATGCATGGAAGTTTAAATCCTCGATCATAATTCTTAATTAAGCATGTCATATTGAAAAAGGATGAACTCCTCGCAGCATTTAAAGGATTATCATTTTCATAAAAAAAAATCTTCTAACATCCATACAAACAGCTAATTTTCATTACAAGATACTCGTCGGATACTTTAAGTTTGATTTTCAATAACATGATCCAAACTTCAATAAATCGGTCCATAGGGCTTTGAATTTTTCTAGTAAAAATAAAGGCACTATCAATTCAACTAGTGAATTAATAATAGGAACATGTATAGGACCAAAACTAGAAGAACCTATGATCCATTCTCAGTCATTTCATCATTTTTTATTAGTGCTGATGCTTTGTCACTGCAAAGCCATTCAAATAGTGTCATCTCTCATTTAACTTCAACTGAAACTTTTTCACACCACCCCACATTTGTATGAGTTTGAATGAGAAGATCATATACTCTTTAACACCTCTTATAATACTTTTGCTAGAAATATTCAATTATATATATATATATATATATAAAAGATTGGTGGCAAAAGGGTACACTCAGACATACGATATTGCCTACCACGCAACTTTTGCACATGTGGCCAAGATGAACACCGTGAGGACCCTGCTCTCTCTAGCAGCTAATTACAACTGGCATCTGAAATAGCTAGATGTCCAAAATGCATTCCTACACGGAGATTTGGAAGAAAAAATATTTATGGAGATTCCACCAGGATTCAAGGAGAAATCTAGGGGTGATAGTGTGCAGGTTAAAAAAGGCTCTATATGGACTAAAGCAATTGCCTAGAGCTTGGTTTGAAAAATTCTCAAAAGTCATGCCTGTGAGATCTCGTTCCCTTACTGTTCCTCTCTGAATTGGATTTTCCTCCCAGGATCGGCCGGGATGATATTGAGATCGTCCAGGCCGATCAGTGCATTGAAAACGGCTGATTTCTGGACTGGATCGTCCAGGCCGATTTTGGATCGTCCTGGGACGATCAGTGCATGGCAAAATCCTGAGAGCAAGGGTTTTTGGCAAATTAATTATCGGCCTGCGGAATCGTCCTGGACGATTGGATTTTGTTCACATCGTCCTAGACGATGTGGCGATCGGCCGGGCCGATCAGGCTTATGATATAAGCAAATCAGCTCGATTCGAGGAGAGAGAAATCCATTTATAAAGAAAATATTCTGAGGAGAGGAAAAGAGAAAGGAAAAAGCAGAAGAAATCTTGTATTTCCGGAGGCCAGCGAAGCGCTTTCGTCCGTCGCCGACTAGTTGAAAGAATTGAAGATCTCGCGTAAGGAACTCCGAATCCTATTCTATTTTCAGAGATATTGATTTTTGATTGCGTGTGCACTGTTTTGTGTTTTCGTAGTCGAATTTTGGACCCGGTTTAATATTGACACAACTTTCACCGCACAACTGTTTATAAAGATTATGAATTATGTAATATTCACGATTTGAGTATTTTCTACGCATGATTTACCGGTCGGAATTAGTTCTACGCGATTTTAATTGAATAGAAAAATATCATGATGTTATTTGATATGGATTCAGTAGAACAATAGCCTTATATTGATGTTGTGACACGTTCTGTGTGAATTTGAAAAATTAGTGCTTTTTGCAGGTTTCTTTTTTGTTATTAAAGAATGATCCGTGATACTGCAGTTATCTGCCGAATTTTCGTAGATTTCTGATTTTTCTGAGATTGATAGATTGAATAGAATGAATGTGAATATTGATATGATTGCTTTAATATGACTATGAATTGATTATTATTGATATGATACTGGAACACAAGTGGAACCTGTTGAACGTTGGTTGGAATGAATTGAACCTGTACAGTGCGTGGGTGCGGCCGACGGGCTTTCCTTTAAACATTGATTATGGATATATGGATGGGAGTCATAAGGAGTTCTTATAGATATGCCGACGGGCAATAGAGTGACGACTCTTTTTATTGAAACCAACGTATGGATATCCAACAGCAATATGGATTCTACAACAGCAACATAGCCAGTTGATTGTACTTGTTCAGTATTATTGTATTGAATGCATGTTTACTGTATTGACATACGGATTTATTGCTTTATCGATTTCTACTTTATTGATTTGATCGGATTTA